TCAAGCACGAGGATGCGTGGCAGGACGTGAAGTAAACAAAAGGTAAAACATCCAATGGGCAGCGAACACGGAGATTTCAAGGCCCAATGGCTTGACACCACGAAACAGTAGTATCTCCAATGAGAACGAGACAAGTGGGCCAGAGCTGAAGCAGGAGCCTGGGGAGACCAGAGCAAGGGGAATTCGAGGCAGGCAGTGCAAGCGGAAGGTCGTCACCGGACCGGGCGCTGAAGATGGGCCGTTGGGTTCCGGACCCGAGCCTACAGGACTTCCACCGGCCGGGGCCTCCTGCTGTCGGGTTCCCGCTCCAAAGGACCGTGGCCATCCGGTCCTGAACTCCTTTCCAGGGCCTGCGGACTTTGGTTCCGGCAGGCGAGCTACAGCCGTCGGGCTCCGGGCCCGAGCTGTGCGCCCAGCTGCTTGACTAGGTCGACCCTAGTTCCCGGACGCGTCGCCACCAGCCTGCGTTCTCCCGTCTCCGACGTGTCCACGCTCCTCAAGCCGAAACCATCACGATTTGGTAGGGCTTTTCGACGTGTCGCCAGCAGCCAGCGTTCCCTCGTCCTCGTCCAGCCCACGCACTGACGCAGGAGTCACGGCGTTCCGGTTTCTCATCACCGCCGAAAACCAACTTGTGGGTGAGACTGCACCGATACTCTTGCGCTACTCCCATCACTCAGCCTCTTTCGAACGTTAGGTTTAGTTACTGACTTTGAACGTTCTTGTTGGGTGTTTACAGAGGTGTTTCGTCATGTCCAGTCAACTGTTTATTAAGTGTTTTGTTTTGTGAGGAATCTTTGCCTCTTTACTTTTCAATTAAACTTTTTGTGTGTTTCTTGGAAACCGAACGGCTTTGTCCTTATTAACAAAACTCTCTGAGGCTCAGCCCGGGAGAAAAACAAATCAGCAACAAGAACCCTGCATCACAAATTGGCGTCCGCGACAGGACAAAGTCGTTTGTTTTTCCAGTAGATTTTTTTGACGCGGTTAACACGATGACGAACACGTGGGAGTTAATTGAGTTGGCGGATAAAATGGGACTGACGGGAGCGGAGTTTAGAGTATGGTACGAGGAGCGGATGGAGAGGGAGCGTGAGCAACGGGCTGCAGAACGAAAGGCGGCGAAGGAAAAGCTTGAATTGGTGCTTAGAGCTAAGAAGGAGGAGCTAGAGCGCGTAACGCGTGAAAATAAAGTGTTGCTAGAGCGTCAGACACGCATACTGAAGCAGCAGCTCCAATTAGAGAGGGTGGACTTCGAGCGGCGACTCGAGCTTGCGATGGCGAAAAGGGGGCAGCTGGCGATGCAGAAGGTCGAGCAAGCGGTGAATGTTTGCTCCGATAGCAGCGTTTGCTGGAGGGAAGTCGATTCCTGCAAGGTTGGCCTCGAGCCTCGCGACAGCCTTACTTCGGAGCGAGAAGCTCAGATAGAGGAAGGCAGAGAGGTGGACAGCCAAGAAGGCAGGAGTCATGAGGAGTTTGTTGAAGCGACGGAAAGCTTCTCTGGCTGGGAACATATTACTTCCGTTAGCTGCTTGGGGACCTCTGAGAGGCCAAGCACCTATGAAGAAGAGCGCCTGGATATGGGCGACCTAGAAGCTGTGGAAAATGTTGTGGAGCAAAGCTTCGATAGCAGGGAACGAAGAAGCTCCATTCAGAATGAGGTGTGTATCAGAACGTCTCAGAGGCCGAGCACATTTCGGGAAGGGGTAGGGCTACCTCTCAATAGCTCCATGGAAGGAGCGCTAGAACGTCATTGGGAAGATGGCAGCGAATGCCATGAAGGCTCTGATATAGTGGCCACTGATTGTTTTGTACCGACAGAGGTAGCAGCAGGCACCACGTCAATGGTCCTAGACCATACGTATATCTCACTCAGAGAGAGAGGGGATTCTAGTTCACAGGATAGCGTAACTGCTATTTGTCCGAGAAAACACGATGGAAGTGCTGAAGCACTCTTCAAAATAAACAGTATCGAATCGGAGGTGGGCTCGATAGTAGGTATGGAGAATGCCAGACAGGGTCTTGAACCTGAGAACGTGATTGGTTTTGAACCTATAATTAAGTCCACTCAAGATGAGCTGTATAATGACCGAGCACAACGGCATCCCTTCTCAAGAATCCAGGAACCTCACACGCTTGTCGGAGCGTTTGGGCTTGCTGAGGGCACCCCGAGCTTGTGTTCATTAGATGGTGAATTAAAAGAAAGCATTTGTGTGAGAGATTGTGGCATTTGGACATTCGTGTCTCAGTGCGTTTCGTGTCGACGCCGACGGCTCGAGACCGCGCCCTGTTCCTCTGTGACCGGTAAGCGTTCATGTGGCCGGCGGGGGCGCAGACACGCGTTTCAGCGAAAGTGCATAAAAGCATGTTTGCCACAGTTACTTTCGAAACGTGCGAGAAGGGCAGTGCGTCTGGTTTGGGACGCGATAACCTGAGTGTAGGGTTAGAAAACCGGTAGCTCTTTCTGGACTTCGACTTTTAGATGCGGACACAAGTAGCTTTGTCCATAGTCGATTTTGTAGTAAAAAGGTTTATTCCGGGTTTCAGAACTTTTAAATGCAATTGGGTGAATCTAAAGTTTAAGTGTGGACATTTGGACGATGTAGCGAACTGTAGCCCGGTGATGTGTTGAACTGCGTGGTGCAAATATGTGGTTTAATTGTGACGTAGTGCAGAACGCGCACTCATCGGCAGTTTTTTTTTTCTAAAAAAAAAACTTGAATAAAAGGGGGGCGTATGTGATGTGTGGTACGCGTTCAAAGTGCGCGCCTTCGAAAAGTGCGCGTCACGGAAAAAAAAAAAAAAAACAAAAGGAGAAATACCAGAGTGCACGTGCGGTGCTGCTTAAACAAGAATGACGACGTTAAAGAGCGTCAAGCACGAGGATGCGTGGCAGGACGTGAAGTAAACAAAAGGTAAAACATCCAATGGGCAGCGAACACGGAGATTTCAAGGCCCAATGGCTTGACACCACGAAACAGTAGTATCTCCAATGAGAACGAGACAAGTGGGCCAGAGCTGAAGCAGGAGCCTGGGGAGACCAGAGCAAGGGGAATTCGAGGCAGGCAGTGCAAGCGGAAGGTCGTCACCGGACCGGGCGCTGAAGATGGGCCGTTGGGTTCCGGACCCGAGCCTACAGGACTTCCACCGGCCGGGGCCTCCTGCTGTCGGGTTCCCGCTCCAAAGGACCGTGGCCATCCGGTCCTGAACTCCTTTCCAGGGCCTGCGGACTTTGGTTCCGGCAGGCGAGCTACAGCCGTCGGGCTCCGGGCCCGAGCTGTGCGCCCAGCTGCTTGACTAGGTCGACCCTAGTTCCCGGACGCGTCGCCACCAGCCTGCGTTCTCCCGTCTCCGACGTGTCCACGCTCCTCAAGCCGAAACCATCACGATTTGGTAGGGCTTTTCGACGTGTCGCCAGCAGCCAGCGTTCCCTCGTCCTCGTCCAGCCCACGCACTGACGCAGGAGTCACGGCGTTCCGGTTTCTCATCACCGCCGAAAACCAACTTGTGGGTGAGACTGCACCGATACTCTTGCGCTACTCCCATCACTCAGCCTCTTTCGAACGTTAGGTTTAGTTACTGACTTTGAACGTTCTTGTTGGGTGTTTACAGAGGTGTTTCGTCATGTCCAGTCAACTGTTTATTAAGTGTTTTGTTTTGTGAGGAATCTTTGCCTCTTTACTTTTCAATTAAACTTTTTGTGTGTTTCTTGGAAACCGAACGGCTTTGTCCTTATTAACAAAACTCTCTGAGGCTCAGCCCGGGAGAAAAACAAATCAGCAACAAGAACCCTGCATCACAGGGGGTTAATGCTTATTGCTATGGCAGGCCAGACTCCAAGGAAACACAATGGGATATTTCTGGGGGTGCTACAGAAACATGGCATCTTTTTATACACGTAATCATCTTACACAAAAAGACAGCTGAGAGTTCTGTCCAGAGGGTCAGTTCACAGGGTAGATTCACAGAGTGCTCACCAGGCTCAGTGACCATGATGTGCCGGTGTATATGCAAGCAGGCCCCGGCTTCCAAATTTTTCAGTCTCGTGTGTTCTTCCCCCCAAAAATAAATTCCTGCTTATGGCACTGCCATGATGTATTCTCCCCAGAGTGGCTTCTTATACTGTACAGTCAACCACAAAAGTTTACGGATCACGCAAGCACATGGCTAAAAGCCTCTTCGCGAGACTTCCGCTACGTCAGCGGCGGTCAACGGCACCGCAGCACCCTGACAGCATCCCTCCCCTAATTGATGGCATGTCTCTTTTCTGACGGGGTACAAATATTTTCCACCTTTCGCTTTTTAATGCGACATGCTTTTGGCATCTGTGTCTACAAGCTTCTGCCTGGAAAGCAGTCTATGAGCATAACTGTTATCAGTTGCAACCTCAATGGGGGATTACATTTCCACAATTTATATTGGGGCTCCACACACTTCTCCCAGTGGTGCTATTTCTGTTGAAAGTATTCTGATAAGGCCTCTTTCGGAATGGAGTTTAGTTCAGCTGTCGTTGCAGCCATAATGTCCTCCCTTGTATGAAATCACTCTTCTTTCAATGTCCTCTTCAGCTTAGGAAACAGCCAGAAGCCGCATGGGGCCATATCTGGAGAGTAAGGAGCCTGTTGAACTACAAGAGTCTGACTTTTTGCCAAAGAAGTTTGAACCATGTGTGAAGAATGGGCAGGAGCATTTTTGTGATGGGTGCACTAGTTTCCTGTTAATCATAACTCAGATCTCTTGCACCTCACAGCAACACGTAGGCAACGGATGATATTCCTGTAGCACTCTTGTGTGATGGTTTGACCCTGTGGTGCATACTCGTGGTTCACCCTACCGCGGAAGCCAAAGACAGCACTCAGCATCACTTTGGCGTTGCTGCGCGCTTGGCGGGCCTTCTTTGGTCTTGGTGACGTCGAATGCTTCCACTGTGATGACTGGGATTTGATTTCCGGGTCAGTCTTCAGTGATAATGGTGTTCATGAAGCTGGGGTCACTGCTTGTCAAATCCAGAATGTCCTGTGAGACTTCAACACAAGTTGCTTTTGCTCCACCATGAGCAGTTTCGGCACAAATTTTTTAGCAACTCTCTTCATGGGAAAATCGTCAATCATAAGGAAATGTGCAGAGAAAGTGTTGATGCCCACCTCTTCCGCAATTTTCCGGATAGTCACACAACGATCACGTATCACCACAGCGTTCACTTTAGCAATGACCTGGTCATTTCGCCGTGTTGATGGCCAACCGGAGCGGGGCTCGCTCTCCACCAATGTGTGGCCATCTTTAAACCAGTTGTACCACTCGTTCATCTGTGAGCGGCTCATAGCATCGTCATTGGAAGCGGTCTTGATCTTCCAAATGGTTTCCACTTGGCTGTCGCCCAGTTTCTGGCAAAATTTGATGCAGTAGCTTTGCTCCAGTCACTTCGTCATTGTCTTAGCAATGAAAATCGACGAGAGTGCTGCACGCTACCTCACTCAAACGCTGCGTCCCAGCGACTGACGCTATTGGCAGGCGGGAAAAAATTTATGCATGCGCACAAAGGTAAGGAAGGCTCGGAGAAAATAGATGATCATCTAGGATTTGGTGATTGGTAGCATATTTGAGCGGTAGATCGCGACTCCCGTTGCTGGGTGTTCTGAAGCATATGGCGCGAAGACAAGATCTCTTGGATCTCGTATGGGCATTCACCATTTTGAGGGCAGGGTGCATTCGCTGGGAAGCCATGCAGTCCCACTCGACGATAATGACAGGCTTGATAAAGGTGACCTGCCTCTCCACAGTGGTAGCAGAAAGGCCGCTGGTCTGCAGTGCACCACACATCGCTTTCACTTGCTTTTGGTATGGCCGGTGGCACACCGCGCAGAAATTTTGAGGGCGCAACGGCAGCTTGAGCAAAGTTTGTGCATCTAAGGTTCTGTCGAACTACTTGCGTGTACGACAACTGAGGTTGAGGTTCCGGTTGTGCTCTGCACTGCACCTGGGGCTGTGGTTCAAGAATAGCTTGCCACACTTCTTCACGCACAACATTTGCGACTGAGGGTATCATTGGGGGACCTTGGGTGAGTTGCGTTTTCTGTAGCTCCTCCCTTACGACGGCCCTCGCCACTTGTTGCAGAATGTCAGTGTTGCTGGTGAGGGTCGCTGACACTGTGCTAGCTGCACAGACATTGTCATTCCTGTTGTACTGCCGTGCACGCTGTTGCAGTGTCCTCTCCATTTCTCTTGCCTCAGATCTTAATTCTGCCACGGTCTGCGTGGATTACGAACCACGCCAGCAAAAATCTCCTTCACTTCGCGCATCAAGTGCTGCAACTCCTTCTTCTTGGCCATGCTTGGGTCAGCTCAGCAGAAGAGCCACGACATGTCTTCAATGTACACAGACACGCCCTCATTGTTCCTTTGGTCTCTTCCTTGAATAGTGGCCTCCGTCTTCTCTCTGCGGTCTGTGTTCGGGTAGGTAATGAGTAGCTTTCTTCAGAAGTCGTCCCATGTCAACAGTGAAGCTTTGTCATTTTCAAAGCACATACATGCAGAATCTCACAGCACCACGTAGACATAATGAAGTTTCTTGGCTACATCTGAATCGTTCATTCAAACTGGCGACACGCTGAAAGTCAGCAAGCCAGTCTCAGCATCTTGGTGAGTGTCGCCGTGGAATATCTCTGGTGTCCAGGGTGAATCCACGACAATATGGGAAGCGGCCATCGTGGTGGTGTTTGCAGCCTCTGCTGCTTTTGATGAATCGAAGAAATGGCCAAACTTGGGCTGCTCACCTCATAGACAGCGACTCGTATGTTGGTGAACAGGCGTCAACTTTACTAGCTCCAACCGTGGGGGGGGTCCTGACTTAGCTCCCTTGCCAGTTGTGGGCATGTTATCATACCTCGCACCTCCACCAGGTGTTACGAATAGAAAGCTTCTTGGTAAAGACTATTTATTTAGGGTGACCTTGTGCCCGTGAACTTAAAACAACCTTACGCAAAAATGTTCCCCGCTAGCCAGCACGAACCTCTTCGACCTTTTCTTCTGTCACACAACCGCGAACTGGTCACACCATGAGCCGCTAGTCTTCCTTTTTTTAGTGCGTGGCATGGTGGCACGTGCAGTCCGTCAGTGGATTGCGCTTTTTGCTTGTCATTTGTTTGGCGGCATTTACAAAAGCAGGTAGCAGGATGCGTCTTCGGATGATGATGAACAACTTGTGGCAATATATTATGTTATACTTGTTTGTGCTATGTTTTAGCCTTTCATGCTCTTCCTCAACCTCACTTTTTTTCGCCCTCTTATTATTTTATACTTGTAAGGGGGAAGATGAACAATATGCCGTAGTGAGCCACGACCTTAACTTGAAAAGCAGAGCGCGAGCTGTTGTGATCCACGCGTGTGCCGGTTGTCGCCACCTCTCTCAGCGTCCGTAAGCCTCCTGTTCAAGTGCTATACTTGAACCAATAAACCCAATTTCATACTCTACATGGCACTGCTGTTTTAGGACGCCTCCTTTTCCACTCCTTAATATATTCTCCTATACAGGGCTATGCTATGGTCTAGCCTTCCATACTCCAGACTCTCACTTTTTTTTCCACCCCCTTGCTATACTAGCCTTTGAATGTGGCTGCTATGTTTTACTTCTGACCTCTTCATCATCATCATCATCATCATTTATTTGACCCTTAAGGGCCCCTTAAGGGCATTACATAAGGGGGGGGGGGGCATTTTTCTAAATACAAAAACAAAGAAAAAAATAGAAAGTTGTACAAACACACGAGCAATACTTTTGCAAAATCCGAGAACAGACGCACAGAAAATGTACTTATACAAGTATAAAAACATGCGCGCACAAAATTTACACATACAAGAGCTCAAAATTCAGTGACAGTGGTAGAGTTATAACGGGCTTCCAAGTTTAAGTGAGCCGTTAGTAGTTGTTTGAATGCGCACAAGTCACGCTCTGAGACGATGGCTTCCGGTAAGTTATTCCATTCCTCGATGGCGACAGAAAGAAATGACTTATTGAATGCAACGGTCGTACCGAAAAGACGTTGGAGGCTTCTGGAATTGAATAGCCGGCAAAAATAGCGGGCGGAAGAAAGCAAGAGAGAACCATGCAAGTGAGGAAAATAATAGTATAATTTGTGAAATAAACAAAGTCGAGAAAGTATACGTCTGTCAGCTAGATTCTGCAAGTCTAAAGACTCCTTTATAAAAGTGATGCTTGATGAGTGATCGTAATAGGACATAATGAACCGGGCAGCCCTATTCTGAATGGATTCCAACAGAATAATCAGATAGGTTTGGTGAGGGCTCCAAATGGACGACGCGTATTCGAGCTTCGTGCGAACGAAGGTTACGTACGCAATTTTACGGACTGTAGGAGGTGATAGGCATAACGTTCTTCGGATGTAACCAAGCTTCTTTGATGCGTCAGCAACTAAGTGTGTGATGTGATCCGACCACATGAGAGTGTTAGAAATAAGCACGCCAAGGTATCGGTAACTATCAACATACGCCAAAGTCGTTGAGTTTAAATTGTAGACGTGTTCCGAGTTAGACTGTTTGCGAGATACGCGCATGACTTTGCATTTGGAAACATTGGTCTGCATCATCCAGAGTGAACACCAGTTTTCAATTAAGGATAGGTCATTTTGTAGAATTTCGTGGTCGTCAGGGGTGGTTATTCGGCGATAAAGGATGCAATTGTCCGCAAATAATCGAATGGATGATGAAATTCCTGATGGTAGATTGTTCACATATATGAGGAAGAGTAAGGGGCCGAGTACTGACCCTTGAGGGACACCGGATTTAACGGGAGCAGCAGTGGAGTGAAGACCGGCAATGTCAGTGAACTGAGATTGGTGTGATAGGAAGCATCGGATCCATGACAGGGCTGAAGTGTCCAAGTTCAGACAGCAGAGTTTGTTTATTAGTTGTTGATGAGCGACACGATCGAAGGCTTTAGAGAAGTCTATGTATATGACGTCAGTTTGAAATAGAGAATCTAAATTTAGGTGGAGGTCGGCAGTGAATTCAAAGAGCTGAGTTTCGCAAGACAAACCAGGTCGGAAGCTGTGCTGATTTTTGAAGAAAAACCCGTTGTTATCAAGGTGGTGGGCAACGTGCGAATAAATAATGTGCTCGAGGCATTTGCAGGCAATGCATGTCAGCGAGATAGGACGATAATTAGATGGGTTAGATTGGTCACCTGATTTGAATACTGGGGTTACCTTGGCTACCCTCCAGTTCGCAGGTATGATACCTTCGGAGAGGGACTGAGAGAATATGATTTGCAGAATGTGGCTAGAAATAGCTCCAGTGGAGTTTAGTAGCTTTGCCGGTATGTTATCAGGACCAGGGGCACTCGATGTTTTTAGTTGGTTTATAATTTTTAGGATACCTTCAGCATTTACGGTGATAAATGGCATCTGGGGAAAGTTATACCTGGAGGCAAATGGGATATTGCCCGACGGCTCATTAGTAAAGACTGAGGAAAAGTAAGAATTCATCAAGTCAGAGCGCTGCTGAGCTGGAACCCGTGAGCCATCAGGATTGCACAGTGAAATGTTATGCGCTAAATTGTTGGGGTGGATAAAGTTCCAAAATTTTTTAGGTTTGTCGCGGATGATTTTTAGGAGATCTTCATGGTAATACTTCTTTTTGGCTTTTTTCAGCGCGCTAGTATATTCCCGAAGGCAAGTGAAATATTTGTCCCATTTCGATGGAGAAATGCTACGTTTCGCCTCGCGGAAAAGGTGTTTCTTCTTTTGTGAGAGTTTTTTCATAGAAGTTGTATACCAAGGACTGTCATCGTCACAGCAAACAGACACTAATGGAACTATTCTTCGATTAGCGTCAAGACCTTTTGTTTATACAGTAGCCAATTCTGTTCTACGCTTCTGGAGATGGCCGTTTGAGAGAAGAAACTATAGAAGCTTTTCAATTCGGTAATGATTGTGTGGATGTTGGCTTTGTTGTAGTCGCGTATGAGCTTCTTCCGTGAATTATGCCTAGGTACTGGAATAGAGAGGTTGAATAGTATGGTACAGTGATCACTCAGGCCTTCTATACACGTAGGTGAGTGAATAAGGTTGGGGTGGGAAGCGAAGACAAGATCGAGTATGTTGTCACCACGAGTCAGAGTATTAATTGTCTGCGTGAGGTTGAATAGGAGGGACAGTTGAATGAAGTCATTTGATAGCCGGGAAGGGGCCTTAAGGTTGGCCCAGTTTATATCGGGAAGATTAAAGTCCCCGGCACCGCAAGAACATAACGGTCGTCAAAATGAACGCTCATGGCGTACGGTAAATAACTAACCTGTGCAAACAGGGGAAGTCTCATGACCGTGATCGTTGCGGTGGCGTGCCCCAGCTGATTCCAGAGTGACAGAGGCTTTTGTAGGAGGGGCGTATCACCCGCTCGCCTAGTAGCACGATGTTGCCCGCCGAAATCGCAATCAGTCACCAAACGTGGAGGGTAGCTTTTGGTTCCAGTATTCAGCTATGATCCGAGGGTCGCTGCGTCGAAGGTTTCAGGCATTGGAGTCATCGCTGGAAACCCAAGATCGGGCCAGGGTAGATTCCATGCAGAAGTAGGAACCGTGGTGACGACGAGTGGGCCAGCCATGATCGCAAGGGCAAAAACCCTGTCCACATGAAGGCAGACAAGCTCAGCTGAGCCATTGTTGGGCGTGGGCACGACTTTAGCAAGTGCTGCCTTTGTTGGGTTCGTTTCCCTTTTACAGGACAGCAGGCAGCGAACGTGCACGGACCAGTGACAAAACAAGCACGTCGGTATGTGCACGACTCCTAGGCAGGCGAGCGCAATAAGTCCAGCTTCATAGTACTCAGACACACCATACACACACGTCCACAGGTACAGCCATGCTGTGTACAAAGTCAAGAACGGGCTCACGCAGCCATCCAGGAGGAAAGGTTTTCGCGTGTGTAACGAGATGCGCTGCACCAGCTCATCGACACACGCAGCCGGCGGCACCATGTTGACCAGACCACAGAACACCTACCAGCCGCCTGCTAGCTCTGTCAACTGTTCTTGCACCCTTCTTTTTTATGCTGCGAAGATCAACACAATGTTGAGCACGTTCCTCTAAAGCTGTAACGTTAGCTTATTCTGCATTCCTTCCCTATTTTGGAACAAGTTTCTATTACAAGTTTCTTAAATACAAAAGGAACTTGTTATATTTTGAAAATTGGAATGCGTCATTACATTAACATTACATTTTACTTTTCAATAAATAGATAGTGTTGGATAATACTGTGGCAATATAGTGAGAAATTTAAAGCTTACGTCTACAGGCATTTATTTATACGAATTTAACA